GCCATATGTGTTTTGATTAGTCTTTTAGATTAATTTAATTTAATTTTTTTTTTTTTAAGTTAATTTTATCTATAGTGTTCTACTTAAGTTTATTGTTAGTTTTCTAGTACTTCATTTTGAAATTTTATTTTTGGCAAAAACCTGGTTTCTAGTTTTTGAAAGGAATTATAGTTGTCCTGTCTTTTGTAGTAACCACTGCACAGACAAGACTGAGGATCCGTTAAAACTTCAAACAATACGTGGATAATATGCTGAACACATTCTCTTATTTCTAGTTTTTGTTGTAAGCTATCCAGTACCACACAGCTGGGATGATTTCCACTAACATAATCTTTTTGTGAATGTTTTTGAAGCATCTCAGTGGCTTTGCGAGTTTCCTTCAGATGTTTTGTTTTGCACCTTTATCCCACTAAGTGCTGTGACTGTTCCCCCATATTCATGGTGGAGTCTGGTTGCGGTGTGGAGACCTGAACATATTCTGTCTTCTCTTGGAGGGTAGGAGCAAAAAGTTGAAGTGGCCAGCTCTGATTTCTACACTGACACATTTTTGGCATTATACTCTTTTTGAGGCTATCAGTCACAGATGAGCAGTAGCATACAGGGGACCTTCTTGGTGATGTCTGCCAGCCATCCCTTGCTGAAACAGGCAAAAGAGGAGGGAAATAGAAGAGAGAGGTTCAGCTCTGCCTGCCCGCCCCACAGTCCCCTGGTGTCATGTCGTTGGCACCTCCCCAGATGTTCTCTGCAGAGAGAGAAGCTGCATCTCACAGCCAGCCTAGGATGAGGTGGCCTCTCATAACCTCGTCCTGCAACTTGTTCTCCACCATGGGCCTCCAAGGAGCAGGTTCCCAAGGTCTGCTCCTTCTCTTCATCCCCAGACACATGTTTACTTAGCAGATGTAAGCAAAAAGCTTAAGTTTTTGGAAGAACATCCGTGGGAAGCAATTTTATTCCTGAACTCTGCGTTGCTATTTTGACACTCTCCCAGGTTAATCTTTATTTCAACAATGACATGTGGACATTTGTGGGGCTCTCTGCTTAATGTATATGTACAGCTGTCACCTTGAAAATAAACTGTTCTGCTCATAAAAACAGACCACAGTGCACAGATATTGAAAATTCAAAATAATATTAATAATATATGAATTTTGTCTTCTAAGATTTAAAGATTTGATGTTCACTGAGCAGTCAGTATGATCTTTCCCATTTATTTCCCTGAGTTAACTTCACGTTCTGTGGCTATTAATCATTTGATGGCTGCTTCGTTTCCCTGTCTGTCTTGAAAATGGTTTTTCAGTGTGGATGTTTTAAGACTTTCTTAGAGACTGTGTTTTGGAACCTAAAAACTATTAGTATAGCTCTAGAGAAATGCTCTAAATAAGAAGTGTCTGACAGAAATAATTACTACTTCTGCTGCAAAATGGTTTAAAATATTATGAAAGTTTGGTAGAAATGTCCCTGCAAGCTCAGTAAAAGAGAAGTGTAAGTCTGTGGCACTCAGAGCTGTTTGTAAGAGAATGCAGGGTCTTGTGTACTATGTACAACAATTTTATGTAGATTGTAAACGTGTCTGGTTTATCAAAAATAGGTTGGGGACAATTCAAATGTTAGATTAATAGAACAGAATTTACACAAATTTAACTACTCTTATTTATGTGAAATGTTAAGCATAATGTGAAAAGCACGCACACAAGAAGGATAATGCTCTAGCATAATTAGAATAACTGACTTGAGTAAGATTTGCTATTGAAGCAAAACTAAGAAATCTGGGAACTCAGCCCAACCATGGAAAGTACTTCTTTTACCACAAATATGACATCTACATTTTATGAAACCTACTTATTATCAGGGGCCAAATTCTGTGGTCCTTATGCAAGCAGAACTTTCACTGGAAGTTCACCGAGAATGGTAAAGTTTGGCCCCAAGCTATTTCTTTTCCATTGAAAATTACTTCATTTGTAATTTCCTCTTCTTATATTTCTCAGTAACTGCAGAAATGTGAGCTAGTCATTTAATTTCAAGTGAATATAAGCTTTGAGAACTCTGTGAAACTGCAACTTTATCTTTCAGCATAATAGAATAAAGGAATAAATTTGTGGACGTGATGTTTTACTTAGAGAGGAAAAAGGACATATTTGGATAACTGTGTAGACAGGAAAGCAATGTAGATGCGTGAGTTTTTCCATCTAAGAAAAATGAGAATGATTTTTGGTTTTGAGACAAAAAGCAGTGGCTTTGGTTGTTACAAACAGCTGAATTAATATTGGACTTCTGGGATATTTCTTGAGCCACAAACTAGCACTGAATGAGATCTGAGTTGCTTATATTACCCTAGCTAATTTTATTAGTATGCTCAACCTTGGCTGGTATTTTCACTTCTCTAAGACTAAAATAAATGTGTCCACACTGTGCTGTACTGTGCCTTGTAGACACACCCAGTGGGAGCAGTGGCCATCAAGTGTCTTAAAAAGAGCCAATTTCTGCCATTTTGATTCACACAAGCACTCTTATTTTGACAAGTGTAATGCATCAGTAAGGAATATGTGGGTAGATAACACATATGGAGTCAGACCAAATTGATAGAGTACTGGGCTAATACAAAATTTTCCCTGTATTAGCGTACTCTTCCCATAGGAATACTCTTCCAATTTCTCCATGGTGATGGGAAGCCTTGTGAGTACAGACATCATGGCATCGAGCTCCAGCTCCTTCTTTCCTTCTTACACCAAGGAATGTGCTTGAGCTCATGCCATCATGCTACGATTGGGTTATGTCTAATGGTGCCTTCTGGAGCAGCTTCTGCTGCAGTTGTTTTTGTGAAGAAGCTGACAGATTGGATTTTCCATCACTGGCTCTTTGTGTGAGCAAATTTACGACAATGAGTTTCACATCTTTGCTGAAATTTAGCTTTCTTTTCCAGGCTGAATTGCATTTCTAATGCTCTTTGAATGGGACTTACCCGAGGTTAATTTCTGAATTATGCATAAATTGTTTAATCACCTGTGAAACTTAACAACTTTTGACTTTTCATTTCATTAACTGTGAGATGGATGTGGATTAAATGTGTTTGGAAGGCCAGAGCTTGATGACACATGCAGTGAACGCCACTGAAGACTCCGTTTCATTTAATGCAGTAATAATAAACACTCCATGGGCAGTATTTCAGCAATCAGGAACGCTTTTGCAGCCTTTTCTATCTATAAGCATTTGGCTAGATGACAATATTGAAAAGAAGAAAAAAAAAAAAAAAGTGAAAAATGAGTCAAACTTAGTGCCTTAATGTATCCTTCCTGACTGAAAGTATATTAATTTGCAGAGTGCATTACCTCAGAAAGGAGCAGAGAAAGGGCTCCATTGTGCACAGACATGGCGGGAAACCTCTCCTCTGGCTCATTTCTTCCTTCTCAGCATTGTGATCTGGCTTGTCTTGTTGGTGGGCTTCAAAGGAAGCCTGGCAAGATTTATAGTTCATCTCATTTAGAAGCTCCTTCGTTTGGTTTGTTTGCATGTTACATTAAGTTACTTGGAAGTATTTTGTGTTTAGAAATGTCCTTCCCCTGCAGAAGCTACTCTCAACTTCTTCATGAGAAGCTGTAGTATTCCTTCAGACTGCAAGGGTTAAAAGAAGGGAAAATTGGTCATTAGTTGCTTTTTCCTACAGAAGCTCTGTGTCTGGAGCCCTTGCCAGGACCACGTGAGATGCAAGAGCAGAGCTTGACTCCTTCCTAGTCCTGAGAGGCCAAGGCCTAGCAGTGACCTCGTGCAGCAGCAACCCAACTGTCTGCTGTGATGGAGGGATTAGGACGGTCACAAGGGGCTGCCTGTATTTTATCAAGTGACAGCTCAGTCTAATAAACTTGCCTTTCAGTAAGGGCTTGAATCAGTCTCCGGGGTGCTGGCCCAAACCATTTCATTAACGTTGCTTTTTCCCTGCTCCAGCAAATGGTGAATTATTGTATCTCCTTGAGACTGGGGGGGAAGGGGATGCAATCTTGGGTAAATCAGGCATGGTCACCATTTGTCTTTGTGCTGTACCTTGTGAGTTTTGTGCTCTTCTCTCTCTCTCTCCCTGTTTTGCTACATATTTAAAGAAAAGCAGAATCCCATTTTTTCAGGGACCCTCGGTGAAGAATTTAGTTAGCAGAAGGTGCTATGCTGATTTTTGGCTCAATGAAAATGCAATAAACTGGCAAAGCCATCATGAACTTGTAAAGCTTTTCAGTGTCTTTTTAAGATTTGACAAAAGAAAAGTGCAAAGAGAATCAATACTGAGAGTCTGCTTGTTAATATGTATGCTATGTCTTAGTTGTTTGCACACATCAGGATTAAATATTAGAAAAAGAAGAAAAGTTGTAGGTTAAATAAATTTGATCTTATTTCCTATAAGCCAGTATCACATCAGAGTGAGAACTGTGCTGCTGTAGATGGATGCTTCTAGAGAGAAATCAAGCCTGCCTAAGTCTGGAAACTGTGCAACCTTCTCACCTTTTAGAGAAGGTCTTCCTAGGTCAGGGTGTGACCGGCAGTAGAAGTGCTGTGTGAGTGGCTGGGGTTTGCCACTGTTCTCACTCTATTTGTTCTGCGGATAAGTAAATTGAGGGCTGGAGTCTCCACGGCTGTCAGCGTGCCACCTTTGAACAACTTCTCAAAGGCAACCACATGTCCAAATTGGTCCTAATTGTTACAGGAAGACTTCTGAATGTTTCCAAGACCATCTTTTTCCACTGAGTTTGTATTACAAAAATTGCTGGAATTAGATGAAGCACGTATTAAAAAAAACAACTTTTTTTTTCTTTTTTTTTTTTTTACTGTCACAACTTGTACTTTATGTCAAGATGCCTTTGAAAAAAATCTAACCCTGTCCTGTATGTCTCGTTGTCTTTCTTGCTCTGTGTACCATGACATGTTCAAGCATTAGTCTTTAAATTGGGGATGGCAGATCTCAGATTAACACTGTGGTATTTGTAACCTCTAGCATTCTGTATTCTGCTTTCCTGCAGGATCTCCTGCCCTTACTGGCACTGGAACCATCACTGTCACTGTGGATGATGTCAATGACAATGTCCCCACGTTCGCCTTTAATATGTATTCTGCTGCAGTTCCTGAGGATGCACCTACAGGGACAGATATTTTGCTAGTAAACTCCTCAGATGCTGATGCTTCTAGAAATGCTGTTATTAGGTAAGTCATTTAGCACTGCTGAATGCAGTCCCTCCTCATGCCTCACCCGAAGATTTTTTTTTTTTTAGCAATGTCCATAATCAGTATGACATAAAGCTTTAAGTTGCAAAAGGATATTAGTATGTGTGTGGCTACATCCTTTCAGCTAATGTGACCTTTGTTTTTCTTTTTAGAAATTTATTAAATATGAGAAGAGTTGCAGTCTTGTTTTTAATTTTCTAATAAGTTAAAAGTAAAGTGGAATTCCATTTACACCTGAGTGTTGTTGTTAATAGTCTAGATTTCTTCTTCTTAGTAGGTATAGACAAAAGATAAAAAAATAAACCCTCAAACTCCACATAAAATAATAAATGGATTAAACACATCAGGTTACACTCTTGACTTACATGTTCTCTGCATGAAGAAGCATGATGTAAACTGTGAACAATCTGTGTTACTGACTAGCCTGATATGTGTGTCCTTTGGAAAGGCTTTAAACCTTATATCTGGCATAGCATTTTGAACTGGGGGCTTGTAATTAAGGATAATTAATTTTCACTTAAAGTTGTCATGTTCCATGGGTAAATCTACAGTCAATGAATGTATTCAGTTTAGAGCCCAGTTTATGGAATGAAAATTACACAATACCAGAAGTGAGATGTATCCTATTTGGAAAAAAAAAAAAGTAAGGTAGAATTCGGCATTTTTGCTTTAAATACCAGCTCGTTTGCATATCTTAGTTGATGCAGCTCTATTTCTTAACTGTTCGCTGGGTTGAACACTGGCCATTACCAGTCCATGAACAAGAATAATGAAGATGCTAAGTGGCAGTGACAAGCTAGAGATTATCCACTGTGAATTGATTTATTGGTAATGGAATAAAAAGCAGATTCTTACAAAACATTAATCACAATAACATGTAGGCTATCTCTTCAAAATTAACTTTTATTGCTGGAAATGCCTGTTTCTCTGTTTCTTAAATTACAAGTCAGAATATGAAAGTAGCTTATTTATTTACTATTTCAGTTCATACTTCAAAGTGCATAGGAAAATATCACTGTTCTCATAAATCAAAAAAAAAAAAAAGAGAGAAAAAGAAATAAAGTAAAGCAGAACTGTGTTATAGCAAAGCAAGTATGTACAAAACGCTGTAATATATTCTTTCCCTCTAGCTAAAACCTAGAAATAGGAACTTTTTGTTTTGGCATCTTTAAATATTTGAAAAGTCTCCCAAATTACCATTTATTATGTTGTGAAACAATAAAACTTTTAATTCAATTCACTCTCACTCAGAGAAACTTATTTCTGGAAAGCTTTCTTAGGAAAAAGAATACCATACAAAGCATGAATTATTGTAATGTTTGCACCCCATAACCAAAAATTATCAGCGTGCTCTCAGTTTTCTTTAGTGTGTTTGAATTGCTTTGATATTTCTACTATTAGTCTTTGCCATTCACTAATTATCTCAAGAAGAATAGATTTCTTTTTTCATAAGTAACTATTTGTAATATGTTTTGAGGTTTTGTTTTGTACTTTTTAAACTCAGGCATATACTTTGTTTTCCTTTGATAGAATTTGTCCAGACTTAGAATTTCAAATAGTACAAATCTTAAAAGATGACTGATGTTACAAAACTTCCAGTTATTGGAGGGACCAGAATACCTAAGCACTTCTTGTTGGAGGTGCTGTGGACTCAGAATACCTTTTCGGTCTTGTTAGAGCACATTCCAAAACCAACCAAATCCTTGCTTTCTATGGATGTTATATGAAATTCTATGTGGAGATATTCTTAAAAAGAAAAAAAAAAAAAGACTTAATTCTGTAAAAGGCAGCTAATCTTCTGCAAAACAGTTACAATTCCATGTATCCCAAGTATTTTTCTCTTATTTCTGGTGATAGCGTATTATAGCGGACTGATGGGCTGATGAGGTTCTTTCTGGTAATGCATGCTTGCATGCTTGAGTATTGTTGAAGGTAGTATAGATAAGAAGGATCAGGACAGAGTAGTCAAAAGACTGGATTTTGAGTACTTCAGTCACATTTCTTTTATACTAGTTGTTGTGATTACAAAGTTGGGAGTTTTATCTTTTGATGTGTTTTGAAATTTTTTGGTAAATGGACACTTACATTATCCACTTGGTTTGCTTGAAGTTGTAGTCATATATAACTCAGAATATCCTATGGCAAATGCGGTTTGTTGTCTTTGTTTTTTAAAGTATCTTTCAAGGTGTCTTTCCAAAGCTATTGTGAGTCATTCTTTGTACATGGAAGTACACTTTAAGGAGACTCTTCTGTGTCATCTCATAGTGTTAAGACACTGAAAATCACAGATGAAGTGTGTCCATACTGCTGGTATTTACAGAGATTTAAGTGGTGCTTTAAGCACTGCGCATTCTTTCCACTCTAGATGCACATTTCTTTGGCTGGAGAATAATTACATATGGCCATCATATTGAATTATAATTAAGCAATTAAAGTGTGCTTCTGGCATTCTGTAGAGATTAATGACTGAACATGAGATGTTGCCACAGCTTATTAGACAGACTGGCTATCAGTCCTCTAGGAAAAGCTTCTGGCCTGTGTTGTTATTTCTGTCATATCTTGTTTAGATTTTGAAAAGATGGAGATGTGGGTTTTACTCTTTCTCATGATAGTAGATTTCCCCTGGATATTTTTGTAGAATTGTGTGCTACAAAACAAAGTTGCTACTGTACTATAACAGGCTTCTCTGAAGAAGCAGTGCTAATCACAGTTGAATTTTGATTTTGTAAGGATTGTAATATTGGATGTGAGAATTGATTGTTTTAGCCAGTTTTGGTTTCCTTTTTTTTTTCCCCCTAGAAATTCCATAATCTGAATTAATAGAAATTCAATGTTAACCAGTTCACTTTAAAAGTAGAGCATAGTTCTCTAGGTGTCTTTGAGATGCATTTTGTACTAAAAGTAGGTATATAGACTTTCAAGGAGCAAAGACAAATTCACTATACTTAGCAAGTCAGAGGCATGTGAGATGCAGTAGGCACACGATCAGTTCCTACCACGTTTTTACACACTCCCACAGACATACAAATGTGCACATGCAGACACACCAATTGTCAAATTCTGCTCCTCGTTCACTGCTGTTAGGATACTTCTGTGGTTATGGATTTGCTATGATTTACTATGAATTAAACTTGAAATCTCAAATAACAAAACAGTATCAGGAAAATATGAATTATAAACCTTCATTTTATTTTGTAAAAATCATCCTTTGATTTCTGAAAGTAGTACTATTTCCAATTATATTCTGCAGTTTCAGTTAAGAGCATGTCAGTGTTTCAGAGTAATACTTCAAGTGTTAAACCCACAGAAATCAGTACAAGTGGCTGCCTACAGCACGTCACTAGTGATTTTGAGAGAATGCCCAGCTGAGTACAGAGGCACAGTCTGAAACTCATTTATCAGAAATCTATCTGTTTTAAGCAACTACATTTGGAAATCCCCAGAAATGTCATTTATGAGAAGTCTCAAAATATGGAAGAGAAATAAAGTGAAGACAGCTGGATAGACAGAAGAAAATCCTAGTGTCAATATCTGTCAGTACGGTAATCTGAAGAGAATAAAAAATGTTATCTGAAGTCAGCAGGCTGCTTTATGAAATACTAAACGCATTTTTCTTCTTCATTTTTTTCTTTCAGTTATAGGCTTACTGGTGGCAATTCTCAATTCACAATCAACCCATCCACAGGACAGATCATCACCAGTGCTCTACTTGATCGAGAGACAAGAGAGAACTACACATTGATTGTTGTGGCAAGTGATGGGGGCTACCCCAAGGCTCTTTCCAGTTCCACCAGCGTGCTTGTTGCTGTTGCTGATGTGAATGACAACCCTCCCAAATTTCAACACCATCCCTATGTCACTCATGTTCCATCACCTACTATTTCAGGTAACCTTATCAGTGATGACGCTTTGATGGCTTAGGATACTTCAGATGGCATTAACATTGTACTAACTGCAAAGCCATGTCACAAAAAAATGTTTCTGATATATTCCAAATTTTTGTCTTTGTGTTGCATAGAAGTAAGTAATGATAAATATGACCTTCATATTGGTGATTTTTTTCAGTTTATTTCTTCCACCTAAATCCAGCTTACATTCCTGCAGCTCTATAAAGAAGACAGCAAAAATGAGCAATGAGCTTTAAATTTGTAAAAAAGAAAAACAGATGGTCAAATTATTTTGTTGGGAAGGCAGTAGCCTATTTTTCCTCTTTGAGTATCCTGTATATAGATATTCCTTTGCTGTCTTGAGCAATTCTTAAAGAGCATTGCGTCAACACCGTCTGAAAAGATTTCTGTATTTTCTGTATAAGATGTTGATTATGTTGCCTTTGAGCCAAGTTATGAAGTAAAGTAAAATCAAGCTGCAGCCTTCCATTTGTTGAAATTGAGCACAAGTTGAAGATACTTCAATTGATGCAGAAATTTCTGATTCAGTTTATGATTAAACAAACCTGATAAATAAAAAAATTAGAAATAGATAAATCTTTAATACTGGTACTTCCTGTTGCAGAATCAACATTGCAGGGAGAAAGAAAAGAAATATATATTTGCATTGAGATAGGAAGAATATATCAAAGGATTCTACTATTGAGACGTGTCCAAGATTTAAAACAGATTAATACTGGGACCTCTACTATCTCAAAACAGTAAAAGATTTTTAAAGATGATCACTGTATTAGCATAGACTAACCAAACTGCAGTCATAGTAGTTAGCTGTGAAAGTCAGCTTTCTCCATTCTAGTATGCATTTACATATGTTGACACATGATGCCTACAGAGAGGATTCCAAGACAACTGGTTTCCAAACAAATTTTCTTTCAGTGGGAAAAAAAAAAAAAAGAAAAGAAAAGAAAAGAAGAAGAAGCTATATTTCTTTGTCTTGGAGTTCTCTTTCTAAATTTTAAACAATTGCAAATACTTCTCCTTTTTATGGAAGAATGAATTTGTTTATATTTCTTTCCTGTTTCCAGAACAGCATAATGAAAGTACATTATTATTACATTGGTGAATCTTTGTGTATTCTGACTGGAGTACAGTGTCTTTCTGTGGTTCCTTTTTTGACTGTTTCTTTAAATGTGATTATGATGAGAATACATACTTTTAACTGAAGTATTCTGGCAATACTGTTTTTGGACTTTGTATGACTCTTTATAACTAGAAATGCATAGAAAGCCTAAGCCATGTTTACTCTTTTTAACTTAGCAGAAAGCTTGAGATACATGTGCTTTTTATTTACAAATTCCTCAGTTGATTATTTTCATTTAAAAGGAAATGTTCATATCTTTTCAAATTATTTTAAAGGCTATTGACAATTACTAGCAGTCATGGCAACTACTAACACAAAACAAAACAGAAAAACAAACCCTCAAAATTTTTTCAAGACTTCTGCTTTTATTCTGACCACAGAATTTGTAATGTGCAGTATGAAAGAAAACAAAGCTTAATTTCTTATAGATCTAGTTGAGACTAGAAATGGGAACAAGTAATAATGATAATTAATAGTAAAACTGTTTTATTTGAAGCAAAAATTAATACTTTATGTCTCATTTCTCAGAAGGAATTTGGATATTGTGCTTTCCTAAATATTCCTCCTCTGGAATACAAGTCATTGCACTCATTGCACATGACAGATAGTGACATAAAGAATAGTTTTAGGGGGACACTGCCAAAGTCATTCCTGCCTGCAACTGATTTTGCCTTAAGAGGTTGAAAACATGATTTTTGTACAGAAGTGGCATCTTCTAAATTTAAATAGTAGTAAAACATCAACAGAGTATTCTGCAAATTGATTGAACAGTGTCGAATTTGAAAGATCTACTATGAATTAGATCTGTAAACTTCAGTACAAAAGGACACCCTGGATTCTCCATGCAAATACAGACCCTAATGCAGAAAGTGCCCATATTACTGGGAAATGTAAATTTGAAAGAGCCATAACATAATTTATCGATGTTATTGTACTAGTGTGTGATAGTTTATCATTTCTTTGTGATTTTATCGCTATCTCAGATGACCACCATGCTTTTAAAAATGTGGTTCCATGTGAGCATGTTCCTCAAGGAAGAATACCGGGGGGATACCCTCATATATATTTCTGAGTGAAAAGTTGGCATAGTGTTCTCCACAATTCATGTATTTATTCATGAACTGCCTGGTCTTTGTTCTCCATTTCAGGTTCATTTGTGTTTGCAGTGACTGTCACTGATGCAGATGCCGGCTCTAACGCGGAGCTCCATTATTCCCTCGTGGGGAAAAACGCGGAGAAATTCCATATTGATTCAGCAAGGGGGGCAATCCTAGCTGCCAATGAGCTGGCAGGAGAGTCTGAAGTCACCATTTCTGTCCACGTGAGGGATGGTGGCCGGTACCCCAAGACAGACTCTACAACTGTCACCGTGAGGTTTGTGAACAGAGCAGAATTTCCTCAAGTTCAAGCTGAACAAGAGACTTTCACTTTTCCTGAAAACCAAGCAGTTGGGACGCTTGTCACCACTATTTCTGGGTCTTCAGCCAGAGGAGGCTCCTTGTCCTACTATATTGCCAGTGGGAACCTGGGCAACACCTTCATAGTGGATCAGGTAACAGGACAGCTTTCTGTCGGCCAGGCTTTGGATTTTGAAGCCATACAGAAATATGTGGTTTGGATTGAGGCCAGAGATACAGGCTTTCCTCCCTTTTCCTCGTATAAGAAATTGGAAGTAACAGTTGTAGATGTCAATGATAATGCACCGGAGTTTGAGCAAGATCCCTTCATTGCTGAAATAGTGGAGAATCTGTCCCCACGGAAGTTACTGACGGTGGCTGCAGTTGACAGGGACAGTGGTCTAAATGGACAGTTAATTTATGAAATAATTGAGGGCAATACAGAAAATAGTTTCAGTATCAACAGAGCCACAGGTGAGATCAGGAGTGTCAGGCCCTTGGACAGGGAGAAATTGTCTCGATACACACTAACCATAAAAGCTTCAGATAAAGGCACTCCGCTCCAGAGCACAACCGTCAAAGTTATCATTAATGTTTTAGATGAAAATGACAACGCCCCAAGATTTTCTCAGATATTTAGTGCTTCTGTGCCTGAAAATGCACCTCTGGGATTTACAGTAACCCGAGTCACAACTTCAGATGAAGACATTGGCATGAATGCCATCAGCAGATACTCCATAAGGGATACAAGTCTCCCATTTATCATAAATCCAAGCACTGGGGATATCACAGTCAGCAGACTGCTAAACAGGGAGGATACAGATCGCTACAGAATCAGAGTTTCTGCACATGACTCTGGCTGGACAGTGAGCACAGACGTCACTGTATTTGTCACTGATGTCAATGACAATGCTCCACGATTTACAAAACCATCCTATTACTTGGAGTGTCCTGAGCTCCCTGGGATTGGGTTGAAAGTCACTCAAGTTTCAGCCACTGATCCCGATGAAGGATCTAACGGTCACGTCTTCTACTTCATAAAATCTCAATCAGAGTTCTTCCGTATCAATGCAACCACAGGGGAAATTTTCAACAAACAGTATTTAAGGTACCAAAACTCAAGCGGTTCAAGCAATGTCAACATAAACAGGCACAGCTTCATTGTGACTTCTTCAGACCGCGGCAATCCTCCATTGCTGAGTGAGACAACTGTCACAATTAACATAGTCGACAGCAATGACAATGCACCACTGTTCCTTGCTCCTAAATATTTTACACCTGTTACTAAGAACGTGAGAGCTGGCACAAACTTGATTAAAGTTACTGCGGTGGATGATAAAGACTTTGGTTTGAATTCTGAAGTGGAATACTTTCTTTCTGATGAAAGCAAAACTAATAAATTCAGACTGGACAGGAATACAGGCTGGATTTCTGTGTCATCTTCACTAATGGCTGATTTGAACAAAAAATTTCTATTTAAAGTAAAAGCAAAGGATAAAGGTAATCCTCCACTGTCATCCGAGGTAGCTGTTGAAATAGTCGTAACAGAGGAAAACTACCATACACCTGAGTTTTCTCAAAGCCATATGAGTGTTACTATCCCAGAGAGTCACTCTGTTGGGGCAGTGATCAGGACGGTTTCAGCCCGAGACAGAGATGCCGCTATGAATGGATTAATCAAATATAATATTTCCTCTGGAAATGAGGCTGGCAACTTTGCTATCAACACAACTACTGGTACACTGACACTAGCAAAACCACTTGATTTTGAGTTATGCCAAAAGCATGACCTAATTGTTACCGCCACAGATGGAGGATGGGTGTCCAGAACAGGCTTCTGCAGTGTCACCATTAATGTCATTGATGTGAATGATAATTCTCCAGCATTCAGCCCTGAGGACTACTTTCCCAAAGTATTAGAAAATGCCCCAAGTGGGACAACTGTTATTCGTTTAAATGCCAGTGATGCTGACTCTGGACCTAATGCTGTGATTGCATATGCCATTCAGTCCTCAGATAGTGACCTCTTTGTCATTGACCCTAATACAGGAACAATCACTACCCAAGGATTTTTAGATTATGAAACAAAGCAAAGTTACCATTTAACAATAAAGGCTTTTAATGTTCCAGATGAAGAGAGGTGCAGTTTTGCCAGTGTCAACATCCAGTTAGAAGGGACTAATGAATATGTCCCCCGTTTTGTGTCTAAGCTTTATTATTTTGAAGTTTCTGAGGCAGCGTCTGAAGGTACCATTGTGGGTGAAGTTTTTGCAAGTGATCGTGATCTGGGAACTGATGGAGAAGTTCACTACCTTATCTTTGGCAATAGCAGAAAGAAGGGCTTCCAGATAGATGAAAGAAGTGGCCAGATCTATGTTTCAGGACCTCTTGACAGAGAAAAAGAAGAACGAATCTCTTTGAGAGTTCTTGCAAAAAATTTTGGAAGCATTCGTGGTGCAGATATAGATGAAGTAACTGTTAATATCACTGTACTGGATGCCAATGATCCTCCTGTATTCACTTTAGGAACCTACAACATACAAATTAGTGAGGGTGTTCCTCCAGGCACCCACGTCACATTTGTGAGTGCCTTTGATTCAGATTCTGTCCCTAGCTGGAGCCGGTTTTCTTATTTCATTGGGTCTGGTAATGACAACAGTGCCTTTTCCATCAACCCACAGACAGGACAGGTCACTGTCACTGCAGAACTGGATCGAGAAACTCTGCCTGTGTACAACTTGTCTGTGCTGGCCATTGATTCAGGAACGCCATCTGCAACAGGCAGTGCCTCTTTATTGGTAACTTTGGAGGACATCAATGATAATGGCCCCACCTTGTCCACCCGCCAGGGAGAAGTCATGGAGAATAATCGTGCGGGAACTCTTGTAATGACGCTTCAATCCTCAGATCCCGATCTCCCTCCAAACCAAGGTCCCTTTACGTACTACTTACTCAGCACTGGCCCTGCAACCAGTTACTTCAGCCTTAGCACTGCCGGTGTTCTGACCACAACAAGGGAGATCGATAGGGAGCAAATCAGTGATTTCTACTTGTCAGTGATTACAAGAGACTCTGGCATTCCTCAAATGTCTTCCACAGGAACTGTGCAGATAAAGGTAATAGACCAAAATGACAACCCATCTCAGCCCAGAACGGTAGAAATCTATGTTCACTATTATGGCAACCTTTTCCCAGGAGGAATTTTGGGCAATGTAAAGCCACAGGACCCAGATGTGTTAGACAGCTTCCAGTGCTCCCTCACTTCAGGAGTCACCAGCCTCTTCAATATCCCTGGGGGCACCTGTGAGCTGCACTCGCAGGCCAGGTCCACAGATGGGGTGTTTGACCTGGCTGTGCTCAGCAGCGACGGCCTGCATGGTGCTGTCACAAGCAGTGTCCGCGTTTTCTTTGCGGGTTTTGGCAATGCCACCATTGACAACAGCATCCTTCTTCGCTTGAGTGTCCATACTGTGCGGGATTTTCTGACGAACCACTACCTCCATTTCCTGCGTATTGCCAGCTCACAGCTGACAGGGCTGGGCACTGCCGTACAGCTTTATGGGCTGTACGAGGAGAGCAACCAGACCTTCCTGATGGCGGCTGTCAAGCGCAGCAGCAACCAGTATGTGAACCCCAGTGGTGTGGCCACCTTCTTTGAGAGCATCAAAGACATTCTCTTCCGGCAGAGTGGAGTGCGGATTGAGTCTGTGGATCACAATTCGTGCCTGCAGAGCCCATGCCAGAATGGAGGGAGCTGCATGAGGAGGCTGGCTGTAGGCCCAGCCTTGAAGAGCCACGAGAGCATCCCTGTCATCATCGTGGCCAGTGAGCCCCTCCGGCCCTTCATGTGCAGGTGCATGCCAGGGTATGAAGGCAGCTTATGTGAGATCGACATTGATGAATGCCTCCCTTCACCGTGTCACAACGATGGGACCTGCCACAACTTGGTGGGGGGATTCTCATGCAGCTGCCCAGATGGCTTTACCGGCATGGCCTGCGAGAGGGACGTCAATGAGTGCCTTTCCAACCCGTGCAAAAATGGGGCCGCCTGCCAGAACTTCCCTGGAACCTTCAACTGTATTTGCAAAACTGGGTATACAGGTATACTTTTACTTCTCTTCATCTCAGTTAAGAGAATGGGAAAGAGAGCAGAAATGTACCTTTAAGGCAAAAGATACATTCCAGCTACAGTTATCTGAATATGAGCATTCCCATTAGGTGAAGGAGTCATGCAAAAGACCACTTTTGTAGTTATGAAAACCGAGAAGACCAGATGCCCACAGTGTTATTTTATTTTAGCTTTCCTTAAGCAAATCTCTCTTACCTGATTTGCATTAAAACAGAAGGATTTTACCAGAGCTATTTTAATTTATTAAATATGTAGAAAACATTTCCAATGCTTAAGTATGACTTTTTCTGTTCTTGTTATTGTTGTGCATATTGTGGTAGCATTTTGATTCTGTTAGGAGTGTGCCAAGTAAGAAAATCAGCCTCTGCCCCAAATTGCTTACGGTCATACAATATAGAAAACAGATGAAGGATATGGGAAAGAAAACAAATCTCAGGCAAAAGGATCAAGCATATATATGTTGTCCCTTTGCCATTTATTTTTTTCATTAACAGAAATGGTTGCAGCATTCCTACTTCTTCTGAGTGTTTGTTTCCCTCCCACACCCAGTATTTGTTTCACGTTATCCCTAGAAAAGCAGACTGATGTTTGCATTATGGCAAGGCTCTAATCTCTATTGTCATGTGGGAAGGACATGTATTTTATTTGTAGTTATCAAAGGGCATATTTATTAGCTAAATTAAACAAAATTCCTGGCTCACTCCTCCTTTGAAGATTCTGGATACTTTCAGATGTTCTAAGAAAAATATCAACAGATTTAGGTTGCAAATTCTCTTAAACTGCTACAGACACTGTAACATAGAGCTAGGGGTCAGATGAAAATATAGAGATGTCCTCAAAAGGAGAGAAAATTATTTTGTTGTCATTAATAATTATGGCATCAAAACTTTGGCCCACTAAATTTGTCTTCTTGGAATTATTCTAGCATGACTGTTTTCCAACCTTAATCTTCTTTTATTGCTTAGGCTGAGGTTTGGGAAAACAGCTGTACTTGAAATTGCCTGTAAATTTTAAGTTCATGTGCATACATGTTTTATTCTGATCTGGCATAATCTGAGTGTGATTGGATCTTCTTCCATCTGTGGTTCCTTTGTGCATTGAAAAGCATTTGCTCTGATGTACTTTACTTGAGGATCTTTAGTTATTATCCCTGAGTTTGAGGAGCATTCAAAAAAATATTGTTTTTTGAAAATACTAAAAAACTCAAAAACGCTTATTGAAGTATGTGTATAGTGTACACCTTATGTAGGAAAAATGTTGCTTAAAAAATTTAATGTGTTAAAAGCTGATACAGACTCATATATTCTGATGGGTCTCCCCTCACCATATTTCAGTTGTCTATCACGTGGGTGGCTATGGCTGTGGGAGAGGGTTGGAACTTTGTGCTACAATCAGTGGAGATCTCCATTCTGGCAGTGGAGCTTCTAGAGGAGCTCAGATCACTCTCCAAATGTTTTGATCAGAGAAAGAACTCCTAATTTTTATAATTTTTGGATGTCAGTTTCTCAAAACAGAAAAAAATAGGAACTTTGCTATTGCATATTGATCCAAGGCTACTTCTAGCGTGTCTTACAACTGCAGTGAAGCATGACAGTTACAAAATGTGCATACCACTGCAGGGTTTCAGTCTTCTTGTGCATAACCTTTGGAAAAATTGCTAGTTCTTGCATTCTGTCTTTCTGTCATGTATTCATTGTGTGTTTAAAACAACAACAACAAACTTAGGACATCTCATTCCTATATTATATTCCTACCACGCTTATAGCACCCTAAGTACAAAACAGCAAAAGAAATTAAAACATTTTTATCTAGCTGAGTATTACCAGTCTGAACAATTAATTATAACCATTACCTATGGCCACTTTCTGGAGATGTAATAAAGAGACTGACTAGAGAAGTTAAAGCCTCCACTACCTCTTATAAGGAGTATTCCAAATGCCTTGGGAAAGACCAGGTAGGCACAGCTCTGCTCATTATGATGTGACAATTCGGGCTTGCTTCCACTGTCCCCAGGGCTTGTTTGTAACCAGTGGAGTACTCAGGGTATCTTTTTAAGCCAGATTAGTACTGGAGATGTTGTGTACTGTATTGCAGAGGAGAAAATTAATTGATTTTGAATAAAGGCATAACTACTTCATTTAGACACAGCTACAGCAGCTGATAAGCATTCAGAGTGAAAGATCTCTTGTTGTAGTGGATACTGATGTGATCCTCTGTGTGAACCCTACAAATGTACTACTGAGCCTCAGGTCAGGAACAATTATTGTGAACTGACAAGCAGTTCCAATTAAGTTTACAATCCAGGAGTTTATTTTATGTTATATTATTACTTCAGATTATTTTGCCAGGAGCATGGCAAAATAGTTCTAGGGAACCTATCCCCTGTAACACTTTAGGTTATTAGCACCAGAGGTTAAATGGGCATATGTTTGTTGTTGCCACTAAGCAAAACACTTCATTAACTAGCAGCGTACTGTAGTATTTGCCTTTAGCCTATAATTTGAAGCGTAAAAGAAATGTCCTGGTCATTTTTTTCTGGTCTTAAAGTTTAATGTTCAAGCCTGATGTCAGCTAAAAATAAATCTCTACATATGATAAACACTTGGAAAAAAAAAGAAAGGAAAAAAGAAAAGAATGTTTTAACTAAGAAAATGTGATGAGAGACTGTTACAGTTTGAAGTGTTGGATTTCTTTTGTGCCATGAATTAAATCTGGCATCTGATATGAGCTTCCTCTAAACTACTTGTCAACATAAATAATTTTAAAATAGAATACCACTGAGGCAGGCGTTTATGTTCGGGAGTCAGATCTTTTTAAAATCAGTTGGCTATTGTAGAATCAAGAAGTATTTAAGCGTCTTGAGATTAATTGGTCAGGACAGAAAACAAACGGCACTAAAGTATGTAATTAAAAACGAACATATCTTTGGAGCTGAATATCAGTGGAGTTTATTAGATAAGATCTCAAATAATAATCAGTATATTTTGAGGTTTTATGTCTGCAGAAGCATATATGAAATGCTACAAATTTAACATCCAATAGGTTCTGCAGATATCAGAATACAGATTGTTTGAGAATGCTTGTCATAGAGATTGTTATGTCATTATTATACTACCAACAGAAAGATTGCACAGCTGTTTGGGATTTTAATCCTGATTCACATATGATCAAAGATAGCTGTAGTGAATGTAAAAATAAAGCTTGAAACTGTTTCTTTATGAATACAATACCGGAGTGCCTCACCAAAAAGAGACAGCCAAAATAGCAGATTTTTAATTCACTGTATCATAAACATAGCCTTGCTGCTTCTCTTGGAATGAAAATAAGTCTCCTAATTGAATTTGCATAGTTGGTAAAAAACAAAAACAAAATAGTAACACAGCACTGCATACAAGTAGAAATGTTTATTTTCTGAGATAGACATTGTTCACTGCAAATTCAAGTACTTGAGCTTTAGACCCTTACAATGGCTTACCTGGAAACAGAGAGTCTTTCTTTTATTTGATTTATTATGTTTTGTCAGCTGCATTTCACTTCATCACACTGCAAAGGTAATTTGGTTCATTTCACTGAATAGGATTATGAAGAGTGATTACCTCAGAGCAACATCATTAGTGTTTAACAATCTGTTATAATTATGTCTCTTAATGATGATCAGGTTTTGTTTTTAAAATAATAATTTTCTAGAAGAAATATATCTTGTGATTTACAGTAGTTGTCAGCCCTTCCTTTGAACCTTTCATTTTCGGTTTTCCAGGACTCATTAAGATGAAGGAATGTAGGTTTGTGAAATTGTTTCAAATGCAGGATTAAAATAATAGAAGAACCATTTTAAAAGATGTGCATAAGGAACCACAAAAGCTGAAACTCTTGAATCAGCTGAAATCTAACCCAAGAGCATTCAGTTGATATCTGTTCCTGTTACATTCTTCAATTTAGAAAAAGTTATTCTCAGGAAGTTTGATTTTTGCATGTGATATCATCAGCTTGAGGTGATGAATGATAAATGCTGAATGCTGTCTGTTATCAATTATCTAGTGTTATACTAAACTCACGTTCTTCAAGCAATGTCTTTGTGACACAAAGATAAATAACCTGAATCTTTCAGTATTTCAGTTGAGATGAAATCTAAAAACTCAACTAACTGCATCATTTACCTAAGTTGGAGTGTTACTGGAGGCAGGCTGGGTTTGAAGTCTCTTTGGTTCATGAAACATTGACTGAGATGTTTCCTTCCCTTCATTGGATTTGATACCCTGGAGGTTCCTCCAAAAATAGTGCCTCCTATTTATTTCCATCTATAACCTATAACAGATACAAAGAGCACAGTAACTCTGAAATTGAGCAAATTCTCAGCTACAAAACACTGTACAATAGTCACCACCATTAGCTGTGCATTTTTGCCAGTAATAAACAAGAGCTTGCATTCTGCAGTTGAACAAATCTGTAGCAGCAGAGGTAACCCACTATCACATCTGCTGAAACACACCACCCACTACCTCACTTTGCTCACATCCACTGATTTCCCTAGACAGAGATAACAGAGAAATAAATAGGGATATAGAAGAAATATAGTTTAGATTAAAAAGAAAGAGCCAGAATGTGCAATTTGAACACTGGTGGACCATCCAGAACTGAGGTTGATCAGAGGACTGGAACACCTCTCCTGCAAAGAGACTCTGAGAGTCTCTTCATTGTTCATTCTGGAGAAGAGAAGGCTTTGGGGGAGCCTTTATAGCAGCCTTCCAGTATCTGAACAGGGCGTACAGGGCAGTTGGAGAGAGACTTTTCATTATGGAGTACCGTGGTAAGACTAGGGGTGATGTTTTTAATCCAAAAGAGGGGAAATTCTGATTAGACATCAGGAAGAAATTCTTCACAATGAGGATGGTGAGGCTTTGGCACAGGTTCCACAGATGGAGTATCTCCATCTGTGCACCTCCAAGATGCTCAAAGCCAGATTGGATGCGGTCCTGGAGCCTGATCTCATGAGTGGTGTCCCTGCCCATGGCAGGGGCTTAGAACTAGATGATCTTTAAGGTCCCTTCCAACCCAAATCAGTTTAAGATTCTATGATTTTACTTTATCAAAGTCTTACATTTTAAATACTTGTATGTAACAGCTGTAGTGACAAACTGGAAAAGCATTCCTAAGTTATGTTTTTGTTCTGCTGATAACTGGCTTTTGCTTCTTAAAATAAGCATGTTTTCCCAGGTCTTTAGCACTTCAGAGAATCACAGAGAATATCCAAAGTTTCTTTTTCATTTTAGATAAATATTAGTTTTATTAGCTCTGATGAATTGTTTAATCAGAGTATTTGTCTTCCCCTGTGTCAAAACAGTTGGAATAAATGCAAACATATTTTTATTAATTTTTTGAATTATTCAAACAATTGTTAAATATGAAAAAGATGTTGTTATTCACTAGTTAAAATATGTGCAGCTAAAATAAACATCTAATTTCTGCTGCTGACTCAGCAAATATGCCAACTTTAAAGAGAGCTGACAAAAGGAAGAGCACTTAAGGCACATTTCAAAAGACTTAGTAAACCCTATTAACTACATTAGATTTGATTTTTTTTTTTTAACTGAAAAATGTCATTGAGCTAATTTAAGTGTCTTTACCTCATTCTTGCGATTTGTTCTCCTTGGTAAGTCAAAGATGGATGCTATGTGTCATAATTCTTCAATAAGGAAAACAGCAAAATCTAACATTAAAAAATTATCTCATCCTTCAGTCATGCCTGTTAGACAATAAAAAAATAAATATCCCAGAGTGTAATTAGATACAGACACTGGAAATGTTTCCCGGATTCGTGGTGAATCTGTGAGTTGCATGTTAACAACAGGACTACTCTAATGTTCCATTTCCATCCTGTCTGCAGTCATACTGCAGTCTGCAGGGGGGGGGGCTCCTGCTCACATGAAAGAACAGCCTCAATCTTCTTTAGCTTAAACAGAAAGGTACTGTAAAAGAAAGTGTTTTAATTAGGGGACAAAAGCTGTGAAACAATAACAATACTATCAGAGCTAGTAGTAACACATCCTATTTGTCTACAATTTTAGAAGCTAGCAATCTCCCAAAGTCTGAGAACTACATATTGTCCATTGCTGTCACGTGCCAAGTAACAATTACAGGATAGAAGTATCACAAAAGTACGGACAGCCTCTATGCAACTTCATATTGTTATTTTAACTTAAACATACTTTGTACTTGTATAGCACAATGAGTAAAATAATCTATTGTTAGTGCGGTATCTACAGTTATCCTGGCCTAGGTGGAGTTTAAGGAAAGATCTGGAAGAAATATGGCTGATTTTTCAAATTCTTGCAGAGAAACATAATAGAAAAAAAACACAACAATAGTTTCAAGTTTTTGCTGAATAGGTAGGAAAGGCTAGCAGTGCTGGCAGAAACCAAGGCAGGTACCAAGAGTGGCGTATAGTGGAAGTATTGCCAAATTGGTAAAAGCCAAGCAATGAAAAACCAAAAAGTGAAGACAAACAGTTTGGTAGTTAATGTTTTCAGGCAAAGAAAATTTTACTTTTATACAAAGAATTCCCTTGCCAGTGTTCAGCATCTGTTAAAATCTTCACCACTTGTCTTGGTTCTCTTCCTTGTTGAAATGAATTATGTGATTTCAGTTTATTCTCTGGTGAATAATATCTACCATATGTGACAATGGCTGCTTAGAAAAGGACTGCATCCAGGGTAACATATTTTAGCTCTGGAGGACTCTGGTCCCTCTGGTAAGGAAGGAGGTTGTAATTGATGAGGAAAAATAAGAAAGATCACATAATGTACAATAGCAGCCTGTGTTCACCATGCTGTGTTCATACAGGTTCCAGCAAGGGCTGTCACTATCCTTGATCCCCTTCTTGATCCCCTTCACAATGAGTGCACTGCATTCAATAGGAAGAAAAACCCTTTTTGTTTTCATTCAGCTTCTCATTTCATTTCAAGATCCCTCTGGTATAGGCGTATAGGCACCAGTTAATAAAAAGAAATGTAGTGTCTATATGAGATAATTACAACAAAACATTTGAAAATTTGTCTGTGTTGGTCAGGCCCCTGTCAGGGTTGGAAGCAATACCTGTGTTTTCTCTCTTCTTCCCTCTCTAAGCCCCACACGTTCCCCCTTTTGTTTCTTAAATGTATCCTGACTTGGCTAGTGATTGGGTTACTCTGACCTGGAAATCGCTCTTGTTTCACGATGGCAGGGAAAACGTGTGACTCCACTGTCAATTACTGTGAATGCAACCCCTGTTTTAATGGTGGGTCCTGCCAGAGTGGGTTGGAGGGGTACTACTGCCATTGCCCCTTTGGTGAGTTTGCTACTCCTCTTCCTTATCTTCCCTTCCCCTACTAATAATTCTCAAATATGCAATTTATGTTTACCTTTTTGAAACTGATAAGTATGTGCATAGAACCCTGTTCTATTCTCATTACAAGAACTTGACTCAATCAGAACAGCTTTTAGTCCACACAGGTGCTTGCCCTTTCAGTTTATTGCATGCTAAGGAAATTTTGAGTTCCAAAAACCAGCATACAATTCTGAGAAGTAGAGAAGCATGTAGTACTGCCAGAATCGTTTAATAACTATTAGAATTTAATTGTCTTGAGTTTGTTTTGTGGAATGAACCCAATAAAGACATAAGACAACAGAGATATTTAAGACATTGTGATGTAATTGCATCTAGATTGATTCTGAATGCGAGTTCATACAGAATTGTCCAGACAGAAAAGCACGAAAGTAAATGCAATGGATTAATTAATAAAAACAACAACCACAAGCAAAGACAAACTCAAGATCATCTATAATATTTTAAAGCTGCTGAAACCCTCAGTACACACTTGTAAATAGCTTTAAGTACATTTTTCTACTAACATTTAGAGTAACTTCTTTATTTTATTTTCCTTACGTTACATTTTCTTGAAGTTTTATTCTTTTTTTTATATTTATAATTGTGATCCATAGTAAATGCAACTAATACTCATAAATTGTTTTTTA